TTTGCAATCACAACATGGATATGTTTGTACTTTTGTTCTCATGGTTGCTCCAAATATATTTTAAGTTTTGTACAAACAAATTAAAATGGAAAGGCAACTTAAGGGGGTGTTTGGATTAGCTTATTAGCTTATTTGTGGTGAGAATAAACAATAAGCAATAAGCAATGGGGAAGATGCTTATTAAAATTAGCTTATTTAGCTTATTTCTAACACAATAAGCTGATTTTTAATGATTTTATCCAAACACTTAAACTTAGCTTATTGTGGTGGGAATAAACAATAAGCAATAACACCCTCTTTTTTTTTTTCCTATCCAAACACCCCCTAAGTATCCTCTCTAATAAGTGAAGATAATTTTGGCACATGTCAATTTATAATGAGTTTTGACACTTGTCATTTTATGATATTTTTTAAATAAATAATATCCACATGTCAATTTATGATTTTTTTTCAATTTTTAAAATTAAAAAACCACATAATCTTATACTTATATATGTAAAGTATCAAATGTAATAAATATTATAATAAATTGTAATTAATATGTTTCTTCATTCCTTATTTCAAAATTTTATTTAAAAAAAATACTTATTATTTATATTTTAATATTTTAATTTTTTTAATCAACCCGTGTAATACACGAGTTTTACACCTAGTATATTAATAATTCCAAATATATTTGAGTTAAACTAAAAAAGAATACTACGAATTGAACCCAGTATTACGCAACACCCGAACACATTTATATTGCTATGTAGTATTGGCGATTTTAGTCCAAACATCAAAAGCTACCTAAAATTCTTGCAAAAGTGGTTATATATAAGAGGTAATATTTAAAGGCAAATTAATACACATTTGTATTGCCATATGTGTCAAGGTGATCATCATTCAACATAAGTTTATGACTTTTGACTACTTGCAAATAATGATAAAACAATCGTATCATCGGTCAAACTTCATAATATATGGAACAATGAGTGCTACTATAGTTGATTATTTGTGTAGTTTTTTTTTTGAACGTCAAAAGACCAAGCAAAAACAGAACATAAAAGGTGCATGGCAGGGCCGACCCTAGGGGAGTTCAAAGTGTTCGATCGTAAAGGGCCCCGGAAAAAATAGGGCCCGAAAATCATCCTATTAACCTAGTAACGTTATATTATATATAATGTTATAGCCATAATTAGCCAGTTGAAGGCGTGCCCCTTATAAACTATAAACCCGGGTTCGAATCTTCTTAAGCGTTTTTTATTATCTGATTGCTTTTTGTGGTGACATATATAAGTAGGAACATTTGAGCTGGACATCTCTTACTCTAGTTGAATTGGTAAGTGTGCATATGCGTCTAATGGGTCGCCCAACATCTGTTCGATTACTACTAAGCTTTAGGATTTTAATTTTTTGCATTCCATTTATATAACATTGTATATAATATTTTATTTTATTTTTTAATCTTATTTTTAAGAGGCCTTTTTTTCGTGTTTGCACCAAGGAGGTGAAGAGAAAGGACATCCACTCTTCCCATTTACATATTTCGCAATTACTCCTACATTTAAGCTAGAAGTAAACCACATATTTAATATATTCCGCCTCGATTTCCAAATTAGATTTAATATATTCCGTCCCTATAGTAGGGGATTGTGTAGTTGTACATGAAGAATTAAAATATAGAAATCCCATAGAAAAATTAACACTTTAGAAATTGTGTTCATTAAAGTTTTCTTTTTGAACAGCGAGAAGAGAGATTAATTGTGTCCGTTAACTAATATTACGGCATTCATGGCCATTGTTGTCAATTCTTCATTTTACACTCCACTAGAAAGAGTACTCGTCGCCAATAGCTGTGGTGGTGACGGAGCAGCCTCACTACCACCACGACCAACAGGGCTACCAGACCAACTGCATCCATTTCCTGGTTGTCGTACTGGACCGGCTGTAGAGTCGATAACAGAAGGCTTCCCGTTTTCATCCTACAGTTTGGTTCGAAACTTATGAATAGAAAAACTAGTATTGCGATTATGGCGAAACTTTTGGTCTCTTGTCTCATGTCTGATGTCTCTTGTGTACCTTCAAGATCTAGCAAGTAACCAAAAATAACGAAAGGGTGAAAAAGGTACAATCTTTGAGGGTTTTGATAAATTGTTTGCGTCCAAGGGAGAAAGTTATTAATTATCCAACAAGTTGGTGATAAGATGGCTTGATTTTGACTTCAATATTTCTTGTATTAAAAAATGGGTTAATTAATTAATTGTCTTTAACTAAAAATAATCTGTGGCACTCGGTCATCTTTGCCAACTATTTACGCAACATGACACTCGGTACTTTGACCCATTTGTGTTTTTCTTCAAGTATTTGTTCAAGTCTTTAGAGTCTGATTATCAGTTATTAGTTCATACAGCAATAGCAGTTAAGTTTGAAATTTGAATACAAGCCATGAGGAGGAGAATCTTTGGATAAAAGGTGTAATGTTGACGAATGAAGTTTGTCGATAGTCGTTGGTTGGTTTTCGTATATGTGTAAAACGATGGTGTCTTCTTAGGTAATGCAGCTAACAAACTTAGAGCCAGTCTTTTGGCGTAAAGTCTTCTTTATTCAATGTTTGATAACCGAAGGATCTTCAACAATGTTCATTTATAGGAGAAACCTTTAAATAATATTAATTATCAAATAATACGGTAACAAAGCTTATAGCCGAGCGGTATCCGGTGTTGCCCACCCTCTTTGAGGTTGAGGGTTTAAGTCTCATCAGAACATATGTGGATTTAAGTAGTAGTTTAAGAGTAGTTCAATAAATAAAATTAAAGTTCAAAATATATTGTTCAAAAAATATTTTTTACGAAAGAAAATATTATGATTTTTATAAAGATTACGTTATTTTTTACCAATAATCAAAATTAATTCAAGGATAATCTTCAGAAAAGTCTCAATATTTTGGTTATTAGCAAAAAATAATATAATAATACAGATTAGTTTAAAGATAATTTTCAAAAAAGTGTCAATATTTTGGTTATCGGTAAAAATAACATACTCTTTAGAAAAGTCGCAAGTTTTGACCAATTAACGAAAAAAAAGATAGGCTAAATTTATGAAGCCGGTCAAAAAAAGTTATTCCGAAATTTTAGCCGGTATATATGTAAGCGAAAATTAATTTAGGATTAAACCGTAAATATGCCTAAAATATTGGCTTTTTATTGCAGAAATCTCATATTATATATATATATATATATATATAATATATATATATATATATATATATATATATATATATATATATATATATCCAAGAATAATCATCATTCAACATAAGTTTGTGTCTTGACTCATCGATTGCATTATAAACAGTGATAATCAAGATTTAAAGTCTGTGTAAGTGTGTATGTTCAACCTAATATAAAAAGGTGATAATATAAGCCGGCTGAAAATTTTTGGCTATCCGATCTTATTGTCAATAATAATATCTAAGACAAGTTCTATAATTTTAATTATACTTAAGATTAAACGAAACTTGACTTGTCAAAGCCTTATAATTGTTTACCACGAGTTTTCATATTTTGAAAACAATCTATAAGGCAAAATCAGTGCTACTTTTAGTAGAATATATACCTAGGTAGCTAGTATATCGACAAATGTATACAGATCAAGGAAGTACCATTGAAGGTCGTGTGTTTTTTTTGGAGGGCAAAATGGGGACGTATACCATCAGCGATTGCCCTTTCTAAAAGGGGCATAACTCTACCAACCACTATATGCTGCCAATGTGACCTTGCGGAAGAAACATCTGACCATATCCTAGTACAATGCCCTTATGCCAAAACTGTCATGGAATGGGTTTTCAAATGGTGTACTGTTCCGATGGTAAACTTTCAAACGGTCTATGAAATTCTCGACTATGCATCCAATTGGGGACATTGTCCAAAGAAGAAGAAACGACTATTGGGTATTTGCTATGCAACCTTATGGAGCATTTGGAAAGCTAGAAATGAACGAATCTTCGCCAATCAACTGGATGGGTGCGATGAAGGTGGCGGATATAATCAAATCAACTACTTTTCTATGGTTTAAACACAGAGGCGACAAGAGGAGTCTAAATTGGGTTCATTGGAACATATCACCTTTTAATTCCCTGTAATTCACTTTTTGTTCTTTTGTTTTGAAACTGATTTTGTACTTGTTTCCTTTCATCCTTGCACCTTGCTAGGATTGATCTTTTTCAATATATTTACTCCTCTTTGGCCGGTTCAAAAAAAAGGTAGCTAGTATATGTTTCGACCATCGTGTTTGTCATGTTTCCACTTCCTTTCAAGCTATAATAAATTTTGCATTTCCATGTATATTCACAATATAAATTCGAAGAGTATCTGTAAATGCACCAAGATCATGTTCATGGAATTCGATCACATTTAGCCATTGAGTTGTTCCTTTACTTTTAGATGCCTGGAACGACTATATACACAAGTAATATAGCCTTACAATTAATTAAAGCTAGCGATTGATGACCTCTTAAAATTGCATATCTTTGATCGAATAAAATGCATCTTTTTTGAACTAAATGACTAAGTGAAGCTAAAATCTAGGAAATGGTGGAAATAATGGAGATAATTCTAAGGAATGAAAACATACGCTAAACAAATAAAACTAAGTATTATTTGATGGACAATTAATTGTGTCGCAAAATTCATGTTCTTTCTAATGCAATTTGATGGATTCGGCCTTGCAGGCGGACTTAGGTACAGCCTCGGACAAGTATCACTTTGCTTCTTACACGACAATGCACATTTCCCCTTTTTAAGGATATTATAGTATAAAATTAGTTTTATAAAATTAAGAATTGCACCATACATGAGTTTTATTAATTGTTTGTCAAACGTATAAAATTAGTTAAATTATACAAGGAACAATGAATAAATTAAATAAAAAATGAAACAAAACAAGAATAACAACAAATTGTTGGAAAAAAGTTTTAATTTAAGAGTCTTGTAAGGTCGGTAATCCATGATATGCTGGTTTCATTGATCAGTAGAAGTTGGAGTATGAGTCACTGATGGTGGTGGAGGCGGTGGAGCACCACCACCATGATGGCCAGCAACCTTCTTGGAGCCGACACAAGGATTACCACATCTACCTGTGTTACAACATCCATTTCCTGGTGGCCGAACAGGGCCTTTTTGTAGAGATGATAACAGAAGGTTTCCGGTCTTCATCCATGTTTCTTCAAATTCTCCATTCAAAAGCCTACAAGCTCTATTTGGTTCAAAACTCATGAACAGAAAAATAAACGTTGTGGTTATGGCGAATACTTTGATTTCTGATCTCATTTTGTGTGTGTGTGTTGCTTCGATCAAACTGAATGCTGTGGAAGAAGGGAGAAAAGGGAAAAGTTGTTGAGGTTTGATGAAGAATCTGCATGAAGAGGAGAGGGTTATTTACTTATTTATAGATTTAGTAATCACAACATATTTTGACTTTGACTTGAATAAATCTAGTCTTTAATTAGGATTTGGAAATTGAATAGGTCGTTTATGCGTGGTAGAACTAGAATTATATGTGTGTGTAGTTTATAAAACTATTTTTCATAAAGTAATAATCTTAATAATTAAAATCAAATGTTAGAGCTATACAGTTTTAAAGTACTTACGTAAGATAGGTTGGCTTCAATTATATGTATAAAATTATATTCAAACCCATGGTTAAAAGTCGAAAGCCATCTAAATCCGCTTACTAAATATTTTTTCAATTTAAAAAAAAGAAAATAAATAAATATTATAATATTATAGTTTTCATAGCCATATGTTATTCTACAAAAAGTTCTCATAGATAACAATGATTTTTGTTAGTCGATTGTGTATGCAGTATGCACGAAAGCTAGCGATTGACAACATAATTGTTGAATTTACTCACTTTTGCTGATTTTAGTATAGTGATAAAAAAAAGCCTTTTAACTTAACTGTTAACCTTGTTTCATATTCATTGAAGAGCGATTTCATATAATATTTAATGAATAGTAAAATGTTATATGATATCACTTTCGACTAAATGGTATTTGTATTGCATTGAGAAGAATGTGAATGCGTTTACTAAGAAGAACAAGTATTTATTAATACTTGATAAAAAATTAAAATTAAATTACAGTTGAAAGGTATAGTCGCTTGTCCACCAAACTCAAGATTTTGTTTCTCTTTATGAATCATAAGTCATCATAAGCCAGGCTGACATTATCCACCTCAAAAGTAGTTTTTTATAAGATTTATGGTTAAAAACCATTTATTTACCCTCAAAAGTCAAAGTTAATATATTGATAGACAAACATTTCTTGGCATGCACGATAACCGTTTCGTTTCAAGCTCTATTTTAAAATCGTGTTTAAGCTTTATTATTTTTAATCCATTAGAGAATATTATTTAATAGATAAAAGTGTATAAATGATCTATATGGTTAGCTGAAAATTATATTTGTTCAAAAAATTTAAACTAACACCAAGAGGTTAAAATTTTCATTTTATTGTGAGTTTGGTCAAATATTTTCTAAAAATATTTATAACGACATATTTGTCCTTGGTATTTTTTTTTCTTTTATTACTTTTATAATTTTTTGATTAAAATAAATAAAAAAGAAAAGAAAAATGTAAACACCCCTCCTCACTTTATTTGTTAGGTACATCACTTAATACCACCATTGTTAGGGTCAAGATCTTCAACCCTATTCATGATCCAGGATCTTCAAGATCTTTAAGGATATCGAACTCTTCTTAGGATCCTGATCATTGTTATTATTATTTCCTAACACTCTTAACGGTCATATTTTTATTTCTTTTTCTTACATGTGTAGAAATGGTAAATATGAGACTCATTCTCAACGAAGAATCGCTTCAACCAGGCTTAAGACCCGGGAATACCAAGTCAAACAACGTGCATATGCTCATTCAAGAGGATCCCAGAAATATCGTACTTATTGTTATTTAGTCTAAACTATAAATACACTTGTAATACACATACTACGGATACGATTAACTCTATTTCTACATTTGTACTTGTATTATCTTCATCATTTTTCTAACCTTACATGTAGTGATTTCCAACAACGAGTTATTTGCTATGATGAAGAGACTAGAACGACAAGTTACTCAGCAGCAGGAGGACAACATGACGGTGCTCAAGGAAATGGAGAGAATGAAGGCGGAGATTCATAAACCCCAAGAAGCAGCACCCTCGATCTTGCAGCCCAAGATCCTAAACTTTGACAATACAGGATCCTCAGGAAACCGTTGGGAGATAGGATCCTCAACGTCGGCCCCTGCTCTCGTTTGGGGTGCAACTACAAACGAGCGAGCTCATGTGATCCATGATCTCGACAAAACGTTCATCACTCCCAATAACAAGGATCCTGGTAACTTTGCGAATAATAATACTTTTAATACTAACTCTATGGACGTTGATGTAGGAATAAGTCTGGTCATTGCCAAAGAACTTCAGCGATTAAGGCAGATGATCTCAAGTGTGCCTGAAGTGGTTCAACCATACCAGAGGTATCCCCCACGAGCCACATGATCTCAAGATTTGCTCTTGCGATAGCTGATACTGACGTCCCAAAGCGCTTCCAAACTCCCAACATGAAGCCTTATGATGAAGTACGGATCTTGAAGAACATGTTACTCAGCAGCAGGAGGACAACAGGATAGTGCTCAAGGAAATTGAGAGAATGAAGACGGAGATTCATAAACCCCAAGAAGTAGCACCCTCGATCTTGCAGCCTAAGATCCTGAACTTTGACAATACAGGATCCTCAGGAAACCGTCGGGAGATAGGATCCTCAACGCTGGCCCCTGCTCTCGCTTGGGGTGCAACTACAAACGAGCGAGCTCATGTGATCCATGATCCCGACAAAACCTTCACCACTCCCAATAACAAGGATCCTGGTAACTTTGCGAATAATAATACTTTTAATACTAACTCTATGGACGTTGATGTAGGAATAAGCCTGGTTATTGCCAAATAACTTCAACGGTTAAGGCAGATGATCTCAAGTGTGCCTGAAGTGGTTCAACCATACCAGAGGTATCCCCCACGAGACACATGATCTCAAGATTTGCTATTGCGATAACTAATACTGAAGTCTCAAAGCGCTTCCAAACTCCCAACATGAAGCCTTATGATGGAAGTACGGATCTCGAAGAACATGTATCACAATACAGGGACAGAATGGAGATCATCCCCATTCCCACATATTTGAAGGAAGCTTGTATATGCAAGGGTTTCGGTTCGACCCTGATAGGATCAACCTCAAAATGGCTTCTTAACGTTCCCCCTTACTCTACTACTTTATTTGCTCACGTAATTAATCTTTTTAACAATCAATATTCTTGTAGGAAAACATTGAAAAAGATCACTAGTGATCTTTATCAAGTAGTTCGTGATCCTAAGGAATCCCTTAGGGATTTTGTGAACAAGTTTGGTAGGGAGGCTTTGAGTATCCCCAACATCAATATGGCAATTTCCGTAGAAGGCTTTAAAATGGGCATAAAGAAAGACTCTCCTTTCTACGAAGACCTTGTAATGACTTCATGCAAAAGAATGGACAAAGTAAGAAATAGAGCACTAAGATTCATAAGGCTCGAAGAAGATAAGGAGATCTAGAAGAGGAGCAACCCACCAAACTCATACAATAACCCCAATAGGAAAGCCGACTCCTCGGTCCAAAGATCCTATAAGTCGAAACCATATTCCAAACATGATCATCATATGGTTAATGCCCTTGAAGATGAAGGAGATGAAGAATAATTTCCCAAGATCACTGACTATTTATTTTCTGTGGATGTTTCAGTTTTAATATTTTTTATGCAAGATCTTGGCGACAAAGAGATATGGCCAAGAAAGGGAAAAAAGTCCACCGCCTGGAAAGATAAATCCAAATGGTGTGCATAACACGAGGACTTTGGTCACATTACGGAAGATCGCATAGCCCTCTAGAAGGAGATCAATTACCTACTAAGAAATGGATACATCAAAGAGATCCTTGGAAGAAGAAAAGAAAGACCTAAAGAAAAGGATGAGGATCCTCATAAGATCCTAGAAAAACTAGGATCCCCTCCTGTAGGCGTCAAGGTAATCAATGTTATCTCTAGAGTTCTTGTTGGATAAGGTGTCTACGTCCGTAACTATATTTGGTATGAACTTCACCCGACCCGGAATGGTCCATTTGGGTTGCACTTCACCTAACAATTTGTATGGATATACTTTTGAGAATAAGATGTTTATGATCTATTAATATATTATAAGTTATAATATATTATATTATTTAATTAGTGTTGATCAAGAATTGATTTTGGAATTAATTTAAAGATCAAAAGAGACTAATTAAATATGGACTCTTATACATATATATATATATATATATATATATATATATATATATATGGATTGGGCTAAGATTTATTTAGGATGGGCTAAGAGTATATAGAAGTACATGGATAGTCCATGGAGCTTTTAACCCATGGATCCTAGGTAAATGAAGAGTCATGGGTGTTAGAGTGTAACCCTAATCCTCCATACTATATAAAGAGGTCATTGGTTCTAGAATTGGCACTAGTGTGGGTGAGAAACAAGGGTGAGCCGATTTTAGCAAGCATCATATTCTCTCAAGTATTTCCAAGTTGTTTTGGGTGATTTGTGACACCACTTGAGGCATCCACACTATTGGTGCTAGGCTCTAAAACTCCAAGCAATCAACCACAAAAGAAAGGTATGTTATTCTACTTAATGTTTTGTATTACAAGTACCCCATAACATGCTAGTTAGGTTGTAACCCTTGGAAATCAAATTTTCATGTATTTTAGAGAAAACATAGATCCAAGGTTTCTAGGGTTGCATGTACACCATAGGAGTGTTAGTATGCTCAAAACCCAACAGTGGTATCAGAGTCTAGGCTTGTTTTCTTGATACTTGATGCAAACTTGTTGAAAAAGCTCAAAAATCTGCTATCTGCTGCATGAACTCGCCGAGTCCATGGAGGGACTCGACGAGTCCATGTGATAATTCATCCTACTCATCGAGTAGGTTCTTGCACTCGACGAGTAGGAGCCCCTGAATGCAGATTTTTGAGTTTTGCTGCTGGAAATGGACTAGAAACATGACCCTAAACTGTTTTGGTGTTTTAAAACTTGTTTTAGATGGTGTAATGCTTATGCTAATCCATTTACAATGGCTAATATCAAAATTCCATGTTTTATATGTGTTGATATGATTCTTGAAATTTTGATATGAATGTTCATGTTCTTATGAGTTATGGTTAGATCATAGGAATTATTTGCTGAATTGTTTGA